CTGGTCCTTGATGCAGATGTCTGTTGTGGTTCTCATTGCACACTAGCCTTGTTGCTGCCTTATCCACAAAACTTGAAACCCCTCAAGGACATCAACAGTGTCTTAGTCCTCTTAGCACCCAGTTCAGTTCCTGATACTCAGGAAGCCTTAGTTAGTATTGAGTGGACTCCCTTGCTAACTGTCAGTTTCTTGATAATGGGAACCTTGTCTTGTTCATCTTTTCATCTTCTGCAGTGCTGACGTTGTGTTCTTTTTGTTGTCCTCAATTTGTTTAGCTGAAGGAATGAAGTTGGTGAGACAGCACCAGTTATAACCCTTGCTCCTTTTGCGTCCTTGAAGTTCCTCCTTGTCTTACTGGCCTTTCTTTTTTAGCTGTCCCTCCTCTGTATTGCTATGGGAATTCAAGGCCTGGCCAAACTGATTGCTGATGTGGCCCCTGGTGCCATCCGGGAGAATGACATCAAGAGCTACTTTGGCCGCAAGGTGGCCATCGATGCCTCCATGAGCATTTATCAGTTCCTGATTGCTGTTCGCCAGGGTGGGGATGTGCTGCAGAACGAGGAGGGTGAGACCACCAGCCACCTGATGGGCATGTTCTACCGCACCATCCGCATGATGGAGAACGGCATCAAGCCCGTGTACGTCTTTGATGGCAAGCCCCCACAGCTCAAGTCAGGTGAGCTGGCCAAACGCAGTGAGCGGCGGGCTGAGGCAGAGAAGCAGTTGCAACAGGCTCAGTCTGCTGGGGCCGAGGAGGAGGTGGAAAAGTTTACCAAGCGGCTGGTGAAGGTCACCAAGCAACACAACGATGAGTGCAAGCATCTACTGAGCCTCATGGGCATCCCCTACCTCGATGCGCCCAGTGAGGCCGAGGCCAGCTGTGCTGCCTTGGTGAAGGCTGGCAAAGTCTACGCTGCAGCCACCGAGGACATGGATTGCCTGACCTTTGGCAGCCCTGTGCTAATGCGGCACCTGACTGCCAGTGAGGCCAAGAAGCTGCCCATCCAGGAATTCCACCTGAGCCGGATTCTGCAGGAGCTGGGCCTGAACCAGGAGCAGTTTGTGGATCTGTGCATCCTGCTGGGCAGTGACTACTGTGAGAGCATTCGGGGCATTGGGCCCAAGCGGGCTGTGGACCTCATCCAGAAGCACAAGAGCATCGAGGAGATTGTGCGTCGGCTCGACCCCAACAAGTACCCCGTGCCAGAAAATTGGCTCCACAAGGAGGCCCAGCAGCTCTTCCTGGAGCCTGAGGTGCTGGACCCAGAGTCTGTGGAGCTGAAGTGGAGCGAGCCAAATGAAGAAGAGCTTGTCAAGTTCATGTGTGGTGAAAAGCAGTTCTCTGAGGAGCGAATTCGCAGTGGGGTCAAGCGGCTGAGCAAGAGTCGCCAGGGCAGCACTCAGGGCCGCCTGGATGATTTCTTCAAGGTGACCGGCTCTCTCTCTTCAGCTAAGCGCAAGGAGCCAGAACCCAAGGGATCTGCTAAGAAGAAGGCAAAGACTGGGGCAGCAGGGAAGTTCAAAAAGGGAAAATAAATGAGTTTCCCCTCCTTATCCCTCCTTGACCCCAGAATATTTGCCTTGCTGTACCCCCAAGAGCTAGCGCTAAAGAAACTTCCATGGGGGTGGGGAGGGGGTTGTATCGCTTCTCTAGTACTACCCTCCTCAGTAGTGCTTTTCCCTTTTTTACTTGATCTTATGGCTGGAAAGCCACAGAGGTACTTTGTTTTTCTTTTTTTTTTGCTCAGGAAAGTATGTCAGGCTCAAACCACCTCTCAGGCAATTTAATGGACACTGAATCCATTGTTACAAGAAAGTGATAGCAACAAGTTTTGAAGAAGGGAGGCAGAGAGAAATGGTAGAGATAAAAGACTGTACAGAATGATTCCTGGCTGGCCAGCTGGTGGCTGGTGGGAGGTGATGGTGGAACCAGACTGCTTCTCTCTGGTTCGGCTTTGGCTCACCTTGAAGGATAGCCATCAGGAAGACTCAGTCTTACCAGATGGGAAGAGCCACTGAGAAATAAGACAGGCGGAGAGCTGGAGTCCCTGGAGTTGGCAACAAGGGTTTGATTACTGGGTATGTGTCCTGGGGTGGGCAGAAACTTGAACTTGCTGTGTAACTTGTCTTTACAGTGGTTATTCAGAGGCGTAAGGTGGCCAGGTTCTTCTCATGGCCTCTCTGAGGCAATCAACTGACTTGAGACTTTGGTATAAGATGCTGTTTTCATGTTCTGTTTTTGTTTTAAAGGTGTGAAGAGAAAAAAGTCAATAAAATTATAAAAGTAACCAGAATGTCATGTTCTTTGAGAACATTTAGAAACATCCTGAGTGCCCTAGGCTTCAGGCAGAGTATGATAACGTGCTGGAGTTGTACTTTATTAACAGCTGGTTTGAAAGTGGCCACAAGATGGCGCCATGCCCTATAGAATGGCTGAAGTAGCTTTGGTGGTACTTCAGTCATTTGGAGGAGGGTGCCTAGTTTATGTTGCTGGTAAAGGAGTTTTAATAAATTGAGTGGATTTCTAGTTTTACACCTGCTGTGTGAGATAAAGGAACTTCTTTGAGACAGCCTTACAATTTAGATCACCTACTCCTAGCATCCAAGCATTTACTTTATCAGTTTGTAAACTCTGAAAGCTGCCATTCAAAAATCCCTTTCTTGTTCCTTTTGTGACATCAAATTCAGGTTGCTGTTTCTCATGGAGATGGAATGTTTTTGTACTTGGAAAGTTTTATAGTGCTCATAAAACTTGGTGGGGAGCTGTCCTGTTTGAGTTTCTAAATTTTTAGCATTTCTATCACTTACTGCCATTTCAAGTTAACAAGGACACTTAAGTAAGCAGTCTGAAATTTAGGTTGCCTGTTTTGACAAATTAAGCAGGTAGAAGACTAAAGTAGTTTTTCCAGTAGTTTTCAAAATTTTTAGTGGAGCAACCTATTTTTCAAGTGAAATCCTACGTGGACTCTCAGGATATAAGAGCTCCTCTGGTTGAGACAGGAATGGGAATATAGTCTACCCACAACACCCTCATAACTAGGGGACTCAAAACCACTGGCATAGACAGAAAATTCTATCCTGAGGACAGGAATCTTAGTTTTGTTCACTGCTCTGTCTCCAGCAGTTGATGACGAATGAAACCGATTTTCCCAGATTGAACCAAGCCACACAATTTCTTTGAGCTCTGTTTTTTAATTCTAAACCTGTAGTAATGGTGATGGGCCCCAGAGGCAGTAAGACTTCGTCTTAGGGCTTATAGCTTCAGTGCAACAGCTCTAGTTATGGGCTTGTACCCTGTTGTTGTCAAGCATGTAGTCAAACCACAAAACAAAGTGGTTTGTTTTCCCCTGATATCTTGAAGTTGAGTTGCCTGGTCTTTTCTAGAAGTCTATTAACCACTGCATGCTGCAGGGAAAATCAATTCTGCAAATTCTAATTTAGTATATTCTAATATCCTTGTTCAAAGAGAGCTGTTCTAGTAGAATGGAGGTTAAAAAGGCATTGCTTTGCAGTCTGGCTCTGAGGCGTTGTGCCTGCAGAGAAAGATTTAGGCAAAAAGGAGACTTATGGGGACCACCCACTGAGATTAGACATGAGTTAAAAGGGGTGAGGGCGTTGTCTCACGATAGGAAGCGATGCATGTAAAACCTGCCTAGTGAATCTAGGCAATGTAGCATTTGAACTTATGGGTATCATAGGAAGGAGTTAGCTTTTCTTTTCCTTGCCATGGACCACCTGTGCCTTGGTGTTTTCTGGAGGGTCCTGGTGTTCCTTCCTCTGCCCAAGGGGCATATGCAAAGTGGAGTCTGTGCGTGGACTTGTGTTCAGAAAGAAGGTAGAGCCATAGAGCTAGACAGTAACTTATAGCAGAGGCACAGGGAGTTCTGTCGACATGTGCAGAAGAGCATCGTCGAGTACAAGTAAATAATAGCCTTCATTTGGGTCAAAATCAACTTTTATTTCTCAGTATTACTTCATGGGGATGTGGTAACAAAATTGGCACACACAAAAATACTGATATCCGGTCTAATCAAAGAGAATGCCACCGGTGAAGTGGTAGGAGGATGAAAATAACAAAGATAAATATAGAAGTTGGAGTTCTAAAAAAGTGAGTTAAAATGTTAGTTCTGTCACAATCTGTGACCAGAAGTGACTTGTCCTTTCTAAGCCTGTTTTCTTATCTGTCATTGGATTTGAGATCACTTGTGTTACCATTGTAACAGTCTGAGCTTTTTGTCACTGGTGTGTCCCTTTGTGGCCATGTGAGACCATACTGGTCTAGGCTAAGGAGAGAAGGCCACAGTGGTTGAGGTGCTTTGAGGACCTGAACTTTGGCTCAAATTTCACTGGGTTTGCTCAGATTGGGTAGCCTGGGGCCACAGCCAGATCACTTGACAGGCTAGTGACACCACACCCAAAACTTAGGTAGCAGGGAACAGGGATGGGGAAGGATCAGCACCTATTCTGGAGTGAGGAAGCCAATGAAAGTAGAACTCTTCAGTTCTTCTAATTTGTCTACCCAGGCTGTTTTAAACCAGGTTCTGCCCAAATGGAAAAGATTTAAACTCTTCTGCAACCCATTTACCCCATTTTTTTTTTTTTTAATCTTTTTGTCTTTGTTTTAACAAATTTCTAAGTAATCACCACAGCCTTTCCATAGGTGGTGCCTTAACCCCATCCCAACATGCCTTAGGACCTTCATCTCCCTGATTGCCATTCTCTCCTAAAACTAAATGTGAACTCTTCTGGGGCTCTGCTTTTTCCTTCTGGTTTGAGGTTCTCTCCTCCCAGTGTCCAAAATGGTCAATATGCTGAATAGATGATGTTGAACAGGCAGATAATCCCCTCACCTGAACCGAAAGGCTGTGGGAGTGGGGAGGGAAGAGGGTGTGAATGCAGCTGACAAGCTCTGGGAGTCAAGGTGAGACTCCTGGGGCACATTCCTCTGTTTGCTCTCTCGAGATGGGTTAAACTTTTTATCTTTTAAAAACCCGGAAATTAAAAAATCATATTTCAGTATTAGACTGATACACTGTTTTTTTAGTGAGGAAGATTAGCCCTGAGCTAACATCTGTTGCCAATCCTCCTCTTTTTCCTGAGGAAGATTGGCCCTGAGCTAACACCTGTGCCCATCTTCCTCTATTTTATGTGGGACACTGCCACAGCATGGCTTGATGAGCAGTGCGTAGCTCCGCACCCAGGATCCAAACCTGTGAACCCCGGGCTGCTGAAGTGGAGGGCATGAAGTTAACCACTGTGCCACTGGGCTGGCCCCTAGACTGATATACTTTTAAAGAGATTATCCTAAATTCCTACCTAATCTCCAACAGAGAAAGATGCCTAACAACGATGATCACAAACTTCTGTGTTTTTATCTTCCTATTTCTGGTTTAGAACTATGAAGTGATTATATTTAACCCACTGCTCCTACTCAAAAGTAATGCTATAACATAATTTAAGTCATAGAAAATTTCTTACAGCCTTTACATTCTTTGTGACTGAAACTTGTGTTTTCCTCATGACTGGTAATTTAGTATCTCCAGCTTGGTCACGTGTGCTCACTGACTGCTATTTTATTAAACTTGGAATTACGGGCAGGGAAGCAAAAGGGAACCCCTGGGAACCCCATTTGTTTCTAGGGAGAAGACTAAGTTGTCCCATCTGCTCACTTGTTTGTGGAGCACGAAGTGTTCTCTTCCTTGGGTGGTGGTTAGAGTGAGTCAAAAGCTGAAGGGATTTTTAATGGCCAGCAACTCTCTCTGGTAGCTGTTTTGGCAAGACCTAGGATTTAATGCTCCCTCAGTACCCTGGATGGAACATGAGACCAATATCAGTAGTGCCAGGATCCTTTAGTGTCAAATGTCTCTAATAACCACAGTCCTAGCCATTGCCCTGCCTGCTTCTAAAAGTGGGAAAATTGCTTCTCCGGGAGCCTGAGGCAGACATAGGGCACATCTAGCCCTAGAGAGTGAGCTGAGCTCCCAGGCACTGTGTCGTGCCAGGCCTCAGAATTCTAAGCACTAATGTTTTCTTTCTAAGTCTTGCTCAAAAGGTTCAGCTGCCCTATCTCCCCTCCAGCCTCTGAACCTCAGATTTGCAAGGAAGGGTGGAGAAGGCACTGAGAAGTGGACCAGTGAGATGCATTTTTCCCTTTCCTGGGTGGAATTTTAGTGCTAAACCTCTTCCTGATTTCTGGGCTCAGTCAGTCCTCCCTATTCTTCTAACACCCTCCTGACTCCCTCTTTGCTCAGCAACCATCTGCATGTGCCCAACTAGAAAAAGGAAACAACAAAACTCTCACATCCCTACCCCAATGGCTCCATCCCTCCTTCTCGGGGGCCTGCCTATTCCCCCACCCCTTTTTGGGTCTTAGATCTGTGCCTAGAAGATAAAGCGGGGGGAGGTTTGAGTCAGAACCTTTATCTCCTCAAACCCACCCCCTCTGGATATTAGAATTGTAGTGGCATTGACCCTCAAGCTCCCCTCTGCTTTGGCTCCAGAGGCTCCTCTTCCAGATGGGGGGCTGCTGTTATTGGTGAAGATAGGCATCTAGCCAGAGCTGCCCGGACTCCTTCAGTGAGCTGCGGGGGACAAGATGGGAGCACACAGTGAGGGAGATAGGGCGGAGCTGCACCAGAAGCCAAACTGCCCACCAGAAGTGCAGTAGTGAGACTAACAGAGGTATGGAGGCCCCCTTCCATGTGAACACTCCTCCCCTTCGCTTCTGAGAAGGCTTGAGCCATGGCACTGAGGGCAAAGGCCTGAGCTGGCCAAAGAACCAATAGAGCGCCCTGCCTTTGCCTTGGTGACCTCTATGGCAGATGCCTGGGGAAACCTTCCTGTGGCTTCCACCCCACACTTCCCCACCAACCCCAGTGCCCCGCCCTCTTCACGCCCTCCCAGCCATCTTCCCAGGCTCAGATACTCACTGGACAATGTCGGCAAAGGCTGAGAACAGGGTCTTGGACTGGTACTTTATGCCATACTTGGCACACAGGGACTGCACCAGGGGAGCCACTTTGTGGTAATTGTGTCGAGGCATCGTAGGGAAAAGACTTCAGGGAGAACAGGGCACAGTCAGTGGCTTCTACTTCTCTGCTCCCCCGCACACGTGGACCCTCCCCAGGACCCTGCTTCCCAGGTCTCCCCACTTACTGGTGCTCAATCTGGAAGTTGAGATGTCCACTGAACCAGTCATTGAAGGCAGACTTGTGGACGTTGCATGTTGCCTGGAGCTGTAGGAAAAGGTCAGGGGAGAGCATGGCTCTGGGTACCAGATGGAAAGGCCAGGCCAGCCTTCTCCAGGTAAAGGTGGCTGAGAGGAGGGGGTGTGGGACTGTCCCTGGGCACTCCCTTCTCCACATGATGCCAGGAGAGAAGCTTCAAGCTAATGAGGCAATGCTATTTGGGACTTTGTTGTTACTACCTCGCACCCCCCACACCCTGTGTCTGTGCCCACCCACTCTTTTTATTAGTTACTTTATGCCCAGGTCTTCCAAGTGACCGTCCCTTACCTGGGTGGAGAACCAGTCCCTGTTCTGGTCATGATCAATGTGCATGGGGATATGGTTCATCTGTGTCACCCACACAAACCAGTTGCTTTCCAGGAACCTGGGGGACATGGCACACAGACAAAACAGTACAAGCGGAGCCCAGAGTTCTTACTCTCCTTCAGAGAGTTGCTCCAGCCTGCCACCTTCCCGAGCCAAAACCTGAAACACTCCCTGCTACCTGAATGCCCCAGCACAGCCCCCAGAACAGACAGGGCACTCCCAGACATCTGCTTTTCTTTGCCAATCTCCTCCCCCATCAAATACTACCTGACAATGAAGAAAAGGCCCAGGAAGCCTTTCAGTCCCAACAATGGCACATAAGTGAGGAACATGCGGACATAGAAGGTGATCATCCAGGTCAAATCCTGCCGTGAGAGGCAGAGAGCATTAGGACTGGCGCAGAGCACCTCTTCCTCTTACTTCACCTATTTGCGTGGTGCAGCCGTTCTCCTGGGTCCCCAGACTGGAACACTTAGTCACTATCAGCTTCTCTCTGTTGACCAATCCTGCAGTATCTAGTGCCACGGCTCCTTCCTTCCATTCCTAGTGGCCAGCCCTCCTTGTCTGTTTCTTTCACAGGTGCCAAGGCCTCCAGTGTCTCCCTGCCTCCAGCTCCTCCCAACCCATCTGAATCCTTCATCCTTTCATCCTGCTGCCAAGTGAATCTTCTAGGACCATGGCTCAGTCTGTGCCAGTGCCCTGATCAAATCTCCAATCACTTTTCTGTACCATATTCCTCCCTTGACACTGGAGTCCTCTACATGTCCAAGGGCCAAACTCGCCCCTCACTTCACAGCTCCTCTGCTCAGAGTCCATCCTCCCGTTACCCCACCTCTACCTGTCCTCCAGGGCCAGCTAACTTTTCTGATGCTTCTCATCTACCCAGATGCAGTCAGGCCCCTTTTGGAATCCCAGAACCTTCTGCCTGTACCTCTTCTCTGGTGTCAGCCACATCCTGCTGCATCAGCAGTTTCCCAAGAGTAGGTGCCGTGTCTTAGTCATCTTCCCCACTCCCCAGCCTGGCCCCTGGCTTTATGCCCAGCCCAAGAACCTCAGGAGATACTGGCTGAATGAAATAGGGCACTGGGAGTCAGGTTGCCTGCTAAGCCCCAATCATCCCACCTAGAGATAAGGAGGGTCTATACTGGTTCTATTACTTTGCTCTAAATTAGGCCTGGAGTGAATCTCAGTGGGATTTCCCCTGGAGACCCCCTTTCCCCTCCCTCAGGGTCCTGGAGACAAAGGATGTGGGACTCTTGGGCCATGGATACTCACCACCCACTTCTTCCGCTGGATAACAAAATAGAAAATATACCACTGGAAATAGAAAGGCAGCAAGGCTGGGGGCCCAACTGGGGAGGAAATGGAGACAGGGAGGAGGCGTGAGCAGCATGAGGGCCACTAAAGGGCCAATCGGTGCTGGAGGAATGGCCTCCGGCATGGCGCTGCCCCTTGCCATCTACTCCTGTTGCCCCTCCAGCTGCCTTGGCACCCCAGTCCGGTGAAACCGGCAGGTACTGAAGGTGGGCATGAATGCAAGGGTGAAGAACGCACAACCTCCCAAGAGGATGCTGGGGGGTAAGGGGTGGGAGTGGCTTTCTTTTCCAGTGGAAGAGGGCAGCTGGGGAAACTCAGGCTCCACGCATGGAACCTGCTCATCTCCCACACCTTGAAAGGGCCCTGCTAGTACTCCCGGAGCTGCCCTGGCCATAGCCCCGCCCCGTCAGGGGCCTTACTATTGGCCCTGTGCCTGTCCTTGCAGCCATCTGCCCCGTGTTCCTGTCTGCTCCACCATGTAGGTGAAGGGACAGGAGCAGGAAAGCGTGTGTTGGGGTGGGGGGCGACCCTGCTGATCCTTCACAGGCTGAAAGCTCACTTCCTTGGACTAAGGACATGAGCTTGTGCCACCCAACCTGAAGCCCTGGAGGTCAGCTGGGGGCACGGACAGAGGGGTTTCACTTAAAACTGGGAGATGAAGAAGTGGATCCTGCCCCTGTGCCATTCCATTTCCTTTTCCATGTTCCTTCTCTGCAGGGCCCTGATACTGCTTATAACCCCCTGCATTACAATGCCCACCCATGGCTCCTCTAGCCTGATGTGCCATGGATTCTAACATTCTTTCTTCCAGACATTTCTGCTCCACCTTCTACCCCATCTCCCTTCCTCTAGTAGGAGTGGTTGGTAATAGGCAGTTAGGATAAACTCCTTTGAACTAAAACAGGATCAATGGAATTAACTCCTCCCTTCCTTTAAAAATTTGAATTTTTAAAGGCATTTTAAAACTCAAATTTTAGGCATTATGGAGCAGATTTTTAAAACGGAATATATAGCAGTCTTCAGAAAGAGCTTTAGACAACCACAGAAATGTCTTCTCAGCTCCAACCATTCCTCCACTCCCTCTTTGGGTCCAATCCTCCCATAGCTACGTCTACCTTTGTCCCCCTGGGGGTTGGACTGTGCCCCACTGGGTCACATTGGTCCAGGTCTCTGTTTCCTACAAAGTTTGAGGTTTAATTGGGATGGCCCCACCTGACGACTCAGTTCTCTTGTGGAAGCCAGGGTGGGACTAGAGGAACTAGTTTGGCCATAACACAAATGACCTTTGACTGAAATTAGCCCAACTGTTGACTTGGCTCAGTTGACATGGTAGGTTGCGGGTGGAGTACTTTCTCCAGCCCTTACTTAAAATACCATAATTCCTTGGGGGGTCATTTCCTCCTCACATCCCTTCAGCACCTCCTCCCAAGGCAGTCCCCCTGTGTTGGATGAGGACACTCACTCAGGAAGAAGTATTTGTGCTGGTGGTTATATGGCATGTACTTCTTCTTCTGTTTCCCAAGCTGTGGAGAAAAGCAGACACAAATCAGCACCCACAGACCAGTCCTCTATTCCCTTCCCCTGTGACCTTGGCTTTTCCCTGCTCGGGAGTTTAGGCCTATTCCAGGGGCTGTCAGCTTGTGGGTGCTATTGGAAGGCTCCAGCAGGCCCAGCCTTCCCTCCAGCACCTGGTGCATAAAGCCCTGAGCTGTGATCTGCTACATGTGTCACATCATGGCATGCAGCTCAGTGGGCCGTGCCCAGGTGAGGCATGTGCACAGGTCTGCAGGTCCTCAGGACTCTTCATGTTCATCCAAAGACACCTTCATCCTAAGGTTTCGAGGCTCCTCCACCTCCTGCCCTTCCTTTCTCCTATCTGGTACTTTTCTGACCTCAGAGTCTCCATGGACAACATTTTTGTGTCAACAAAACAACATTACCCCTAACACAGGTCAATATTCTTTGTACATCCAGCCCCTGATCCTCTCCATCAAAATCTTTTGGTCTCTTGACTTCAATATGAGCTTTATAAAATTTCTTGAAAGCTAAGCAAAGTTTGGCAAGTATTTGAGGAAAGGATACCAAGAACTTAACACTTGGAAGATTCTGGCAGTTTTTCCCAGTGGATGGTGGTTAATTTGTAAGCCTAGCTGCTGAAGAGACAGGCTTGGGCCACCAGGTCAACCAGTCATCTGGAACCTCCTAGCGTGGGTGCACAGAAACATGGCAGCAAAGCTCTGCTGTCTCACTTGATGGCTCCTTCTGCTCTTCTTGCCCTAATTAGTTCTGATGACCAGACCACCACAGAGCACAGGAGGAACTGGACCCCAGAGCAGAATGCTGGCTTATCCTTCTTTCATGCATCCACCTGCTGTTTTGACACGTCATTTATTGAGAGCTTATTCTGTGCAAGGCACTTCTGCTAAGTGAAGCATTCTTTCTGTATTAACTGATGAATTCAACAAGTATTGAGCCCCTACTCTGTGCCAGGCACTGTTCTAGCTGCCAAGGATACAGAGGTGAACAATATAAAGTTCCTACCCTCATGGAGCTTATAATCTGAGGAGAGGTTGCTGGTGATAAACTTGCAAACAGAGCTCAAGGTAATTAGAGATTAAAAACAGGAAAATATGACAAAGTGAGGTAGGCAGTGTTTTGGCTAGGGTGGTCAGATATGGCTTCTCTGAGGTGCTGACAGCTGAACTGACACCTGAATGATGAGAAGGAGCCAGCAGTGCAAAAAATTCAGGGAAGAACATTGAAAACAGACAGAATAACCAGTACAAAGGCTTGGGATGTTCAAGGGACAGAAAGAAGGCCAGTGTGGCTGGGAATAGTAAGCAACAGGGGAGAATGGTTGATAAAGCCAGAAAACTAGGATGGCCAAATCATGTTGACCTTAGAAAGCTCTGCTAAGGCCACCGCTAATGGCCAGTGGTAAGGCCATTGGCGTCTGGGTTTTATTCCAGTGGATGGGAAGCCACTGGAGGGCTTTCAATGGGTGCAGCATAATCTGCTCTGTGCTTTGCAAGGCTCACTCTGACTGGAGGTGGAGAGAATGAACTGTAGGGGGCAGGTACAGTGGCAGGGAGACCAGTGAGGAGGCTGGAACAGTAATCCAGACCCCACCTGGACCAGACCAGAGGATGGGAAACAGTGGAGATGGAGAAGTTGATGGATTTGGGATACGTTTGGGAGGCGGTATTAACAAGGCTTGCTGATGACCTGGATGTGGGTGTGAAGTTCATCCCATCCTAAGCAACATTAACTGAGAGGAGAAAACTGGAAGAGGAGCATCTGTCTTGTTTGGCAGGGTGGTTGGGCAGAACTCTGGCCTCCTATTTTGGAACTGTATGGAAGGGAGCCCCATACACTGCTGCCTCCTTAAATGGCAAGCAAATGCCATTATGATCCAATAATTGCCCTGCTGTGTTTCAACTCTCGAAGGCCAGAAAGGTTGTATGGAGCGTGAAGTGTCCCCTGCATTTCCTTTTTCTCCGGGAGAGTTGAGAGACACTGAAGTGGATGCCACTGGGTCAGCATGGGGATCAAGGTCCATTTAAACTGTACCGAGGGGCTGAACCAAGCGCCAAGCAGCCTGTAGGCATTTACTAACAGGCAGCCTATCCTCAGCCTCATAACTAGGCAAAAAAAAAAAAGGCTATTTTGGTCCCAGATCATTCTCTATTTTTAGTGTGTACAGACAGGGGTTTCCTGAAAACCCTAGTACCAAGAGCAATAAAGGCAGTGGTGTGAGAAGGTTCTCTTCCACAGACTCCCACCTTTTTTTAACCCTCTGTAATGACAACAGAAGTGCTACCAAGAGCCCCATGCTTTGCCCAATAGATAACCCACGCTGCCCTTGAAGTAGCCCACTGAGCCAGGTAGGGCCAGGGCTGGTTCACCAAACGCACACTGTTGACCATAACACAGTGTTGGACGTCTAGCAAACCAAGAAAGCCCTGCCTAGGAGGTGGGAGGATAGGACATTATCCACAAGTAGGGCATAAGCCTCAAGCTAGGGGCTCCTGGTGCCAGGACAGCCAGTGCTGCCAAAGCCTTTCCAGAGTTCTCATAGCCAGAGGGGACAGGAGAGCCAGGCTACCTTGAATTCATGCCTGGAACTGAAATGTGTTTAACAACAGTTTAATTCTTGGCATGCTGAAATGTAATAAAGTAGGGGAGAGGAACCTGGCAGAGCTCTGGCTGCAGCCTAGAGGCTTGGGACAAAGGCTTTAAATTAACTTTTTGGAGAACTGCTGGCCAAAGTCTCCTATTGCCTTATGCTCACCAAAAGCAGACCAGGTCTCTACTCCCAGGCCTTCTTCCTTTAGCAGCTGCATTACAATTTTTGCTCACAATCTCAGGTGACAACTCAAACCCAATGCTGACCACCCAGGAAGTCAGACTGGGATCAGGTGGGTGGGAAGAATTACTCAGTGAATGAATGTTCTAGGCACTGGGCATCGAAGAAGAGTAAGACAGTCCAGCCCCTGATGGGGAAGACTGTGACAGAGCAGGATATCAAAGTGTAAGAGAGAGGAATACAAAGTGCAAGGGGGTTGATTCCCTGGGGTGGGAGTGTCAAAAAAGCACCCCCCCTGAGGCCGGCCCCGTGGCTTAGCAGTTAAGTGTGCACGCTCCGCTACTGGGCTACCGGCCCGGGTTCGGATCCCGGGCACACACCGACGCACTGCTCGTCCGGCCATGCTGAGGTGGCATCCCACATACGGTAACTAGAAGGATGTGCAACTATGACATACACCTATCTACTGGGGCTTTGGGGTGAAAAAGGGGAAAAAAAAAGGAGGAGGATTGGCAATAGATGTTAGCTCAGAGCTGGTCTTCCTCAGCAAAAAGAGGAGGATTGGCATGGATGTTAGCTCAGGGCTGATCTTCCTCACACACACACAAAAAAGCACCCCCCGAGGAGGGCCATCCATCACCTTTAAGGACAAGCAGGGTTGGCACAGTAACCTCCTGGTCACCCTTTGGATCCTTAGCAGCACGTGGTACCTTTATGAAATAACTATTTGCTGACTTGAGTTCACTAGGGGGACTCTGTCCTGGGCAGCCCCTTTACTGCCTCTTGCCTCCCACAACTTCCAAACAGCCAGCCAGCCCGGCCCGGCCCCCCCATGTCTTACCCACACTGACAGCATTGTGAGTATTTCCCCCAAAGCCCTCTGTGCTGGCTGGTCCCCATTCTCCAAGACCTTTTTACTGATACCTCCACTCACCTCCACAGAGAGGATCTTCCCTAAGGCAAAGAAGAAGGGGTGCATGTTGATGTCTGGGTCTTTGCGGAAGCAGTTGGGCTTGGCATGATGCTGGAAGTGCAAGTGGTTCCACCAACTGGCGGGGGCCCCCTACAGAAAAGCAGGGACATGAGTACGAAAACCTAGTGTTCCCCCTCCCCACAGGCAGCCCTTCATTGACCAGAGTTTCAGAGAGCCCCTCCTCATCCCGTTGACCTTCAGTTGGCCCATCACAAAATGATGTAGCACATGGTTCCATGTAGAGGTGCTGAAGACGGACAGGTGCCCAAAGTCATGCTGCAGCCAGCCAGCCTGGGCCTGCAAGAGAACAGTTAGCCCTGAGAGCAGCCACCACCCCAGCGTCCCTCCCACCGACCTCAGCAGCTCCTTCAGCCTCTCCCTCTTCCTTCAGCCACCTAGGCCTGTGATGGCCGCAGCACCCTAACTGAGCACATCAGGAAAGGAGTCAGGACACCTGGGTCCTAACTCTGGCTCTTCCCTTAACTCACATGAGAATTCCCTTCCCTGTTCTTCAATTTCCCCAGTTCTGGAGCTCTGTGCTTGATGATGTCTACAGAACTGAACATCCAGAATATACAGAAAAGGACAGAGAAGGACAAACTCAGAAGGCTGGGCAAATGGATTCTGACAGCCAAGTATTAGGGCCCAAGCATATTAGCATGTTGGGCAATATTGTGGTGGGGAGGAAGCCAAGCTCTGCTGAGAAACCAGAATCTTGGTTCTTGGCACATTTGGGCTGTGGCAGAACCTAAACACAGTTTCAGAGGATAAACTCGACAAGAAGAAGGGAACCCTTGGAGGAGAGCTGGAGAGGCAGTGAGAATGAAGATGCGCATGTGGCTAATGAGCAGATAAAAGCCACAGACAATGAAATGTGTGTTCTCTTTCTGCACTAACTCTCCCACACGTCCTCAGCTCTGTCTTGGTCAGAAAGCAGGGCTCCTTGGCTTCCTCAGGGGTATAAAGAGCTTTCCCCAGGGATGCTGAGCACGGCTGTGCTCTTGACAAGCCAAGGGCTCTCACCTGAACTGTGCTGAGCAGCACTGCACAGAGGAGGAAGGGTACGAAGGACGTCCCAAAGACCCAAAGAGTGAGCCAGGCAGCAACATCCAGCAGCAGGATGTGCAGCAGGTACAGCAGGAAGAAGACATGGTTGGGCTTCATGAGCCCCATCTGCTCCACTGTGGCCCGCAGCTCCCGGAACTCATTGGTTAGCTCTTTCTGCATAGAAGAGTGGAGGGGTGGGGCTGTTATTCTTCCCAGCTGAACCCAGCACCGCTGGAGACCAGGACCCTGTTAGTCTCAAAGACCTGCTGAGGTAGCCGTGGGAAGCCGACAGTCCTAGGTAAAGATGCCACCACACTGAGGAAGGATGACAGGAGGAGGTGTTATGGGACCATACCTAAGAGCAGGTGGTCTTTGGAGTTAGACTTGATTCAAGTCCCTGCTCTGCCATTTACTAATGGTGTGATCCTTGGCCATGTTGCTTAACCTCTCTGAGCCTTGGTTTTCCCATTTGTAAATGTGTGAGGATTATATGAGGTTATGCTTGGCACAGAGTATGTGCTCAATAGATAGGTCTCATGTTGATGATGGCAGTGATGGTGGTGGCAGCCTTGTGAGAACCATAGCTTCCAAAGCCCTGCTCCCCTTGGGCCTGTGACCCAGTAACTATGCAGGAGAAGCAGGGACCTCAAGACTCCCAAGAACTACTGACTGTGGTCACCTGTGATCCCACCTACGCCTTCCTTCTACCTCTTGCCCCCCAACAACCACAGGGTCTCCAAACAGCAAACCGGGTCTCACATTCTTAGTGGGCTCAAAGCTGGGCTGCTCAGGAGACAGTTCTCCAATCAGGAGAGAGTTCATATACTTCCTCACAAGGCCCTTGTTGATGTGGAACGCCACAAAAGGATCCTGCAAGGATGGGGAGAAGGCAGAACAGTGAGGAAACCAGCCCACCCACCTCTGGACACCTGAAGGGCTCACACTAAAGGCCATCCTCCTGATCCAGCAAGGAGGCTGTACCCAAGTTCAGACAGACACCACCTGCTTCCAGCCAGCTGCCCTTTGCGGGTGCTCAGACCTTTCCCAGGTGTCCACAGCTCAGGATGACCCAGCATCTGTATTCTAGTAACAAAGGCACCACACTAAGGAATAGGAAGCACGGGTTGGTGAGGACCACAAAAAGACCTGCCTGGGCTGGCCCTTCCTTTGGGCGTCTCTAGGCACAGCTTTTGCACTTGAATTTAGGTATGGGTGAGCAACAACCAGAAGGGATGGGCTGGGCTATGAGAATTCTCTGTCTTTTTGTGAGACTTTTAACAAACCCCTCTCTTGAGTCAGCGTTCTCCATAAAATGTGATGAGGGAGACTCCCTATGTCCGAACTGGGGAACTTTTGCGTTCTTCCCCGTTCCCTGCTGCTGTTCAGGTGGGGTTCCATATTTCCCCTAGCACTGTGACCACTCCCTGCCCCCAAGGAGGCTAATTTTGATTATGCGAGGTGGGGTCCTCTCTGTAGGTCCGGTGGCCCCAGGCCCTGTTGGGAACCGGCAGGCGAGGCGGGATCGAGGGCGGAGCCGGCGGCCGGTGGCACCACACATCCGGACCAATAGCGGTCTCCGCCGCGGCCAGCCCCGGCCCCCGCCCCAAATCACACTGCAGGAAGCCCCGTCGTCTGTGCCTGCTCCGTCTGCTCATGCGCCGGTCCACGCCTTCGCCTGCGGCCGCCGTCTTAACGCCCCACTGGTCACTCGGGGTGACCAGCGCAGGCTCTGGCCTGGAGCCCCAGGCCGGCCGCGTCAGGGGGAGGGGCAGGTCCTCACCCGGAAGCGTCTATACCCCTTTACGACATAACGGGAACCCCCGAGGCGCGCTCCTGGATGGCAAGGGCGGAGGATGAGAACATAAGAAGGAGTTACGCCGCTGGGCGCGGGATGAGAGATGGATGTAGGGGGAGGGGACGCGGCGAAGGGAACGCTCCAATCTTTGGGTCCCAAAGGGTGATTCCTGATTCTCCAACCCGTTAGGGAGGCGCCAGGTGCCTTCGCTCTGAGAACAAGTTGTCTGGAAAAGGAAGCTGCACTACTGGGGCTGGGGCGCGCGCTGACCTCGCAGTGAGGCCCGAGGGAGGAGGGACGCGACCCCGCACCGGGCTTACTGCCCAGGAGTGCAAACAACGGTCTGCTGCGGCGAATAGCTGGAGACCCCGCTGGCTTGCGGCTGCGTGACTTCCCCGCAGGATTCGAGGACCGCTCCCGGGGTCCTCGCTAAGTGCATGCTGATGCAGGCCGCCCACCTTCAGCACGCCGCCCCTATTCCCTTCTGTGCACCAGCAGCCGCTAGCCCTCTCCGGCTGGTGCGGCTCCTTCCCCACCCTCCAGTCTTTACGCTGGGCGGGGGTTCCCAAGGCAGCAGGTGCCAGGTGGCTCCCGCCTCAGCCCTATCCCCGAGAGTGGCTCCCTCTCCTGCTCCCGCTCGCGAGTGTAGCCCGGCACGCTCAGTACAGACGCGGCTGCGCTCCCCTCCCAGCCACCGAGACAGGTCGAGACTCCCTCTCCCTGCCACCGACCGCTCCTTCCTCGGCCTCGGCAGCACCGCCATCCCCGGCGCCCTGCATCCTCGCTTTCCTCCCCGCTAGCCACGCTGGAGACCGCAAACTCAGGGCCACAGACGGAATGCATGCATGGGCGGCGCAGCCCTTTGTTTGTGTGTGCACATTGCAGGCCTCCATCCCAATCCCCCAGACTCCAGTTTTAACAGCCGCTCTCTGCCCTTCCGTGCCCGCAGCACACCCAGTCACCGGGCAACAGGTATGCTCGGGCGCCACCGGCTTTCCTCCGAATTAGTTGGTGTTCGGCCGTGGGTGCCAAACTTCCGGTCTCTCGCACTGAGCCTCTGGCCGCAGCCGCCCGGCCCGGCCTCGTCCCGCATCCCAGTCTGGCAGCACTCACCGTGGCATCCTGCCCGGCGTAGTGGCTTATGACCCGGGAGCCCCCGGGGTGCCGGCGGGTGAACTCGCTGATGTTGTACACCTTCCGGTCGATCACCAGCCACCGCTCCTTCTCGCGCCCGGAGCGCTGCGCCACCTCGTCCCAGGTGAAGTAGCGCGGCGTCGGCCCCTGGGCCGGGGTCTCGGGGGCCATCCGGGCCGGCGACACTGAGCGCCAGCCCGGCAGGGGCTGTCACGCGTGTGCTCCGGACCCGCGGGGTAGGGCGCGCCGGTCTCGCTTACTCCGGGAGCCGGTCCTCTGGTGTGCGTCCGCCGCGGGCCGCCCGCGCGCGGGGTTTTCAGCACTCTCGGCACGGCCCGCCGAGCCTCTCTGCGCGCGCTCCCATTGGTCGAGCCCGCGGCGGGGGTGGGAGCGCCTGCCTTCCAGCCGGGCCTGGTGCCAGCGGTGGGTGGGCCACGCTGCAGGGCCGTGGCAGGACTGGGGTGGGCGCCGAGGCGCGCCCCCTCGCGGGCTCCTTGGAGGAGTTGCCGCTGGATCCTGCTTCCCGGATCTGCGGCTTTCACTCCCAGGGGGCGCAGCGGGCGGATAACGGTTCTTGTGGAGGTTCCCAGGTGCGGGGGCCTGGCTCGCGGGGGCCTGGCTCGTGGGGGCGGCTGCCCCGAGTGCGCGGGCGGCCATAGGGTTCTGGGGTAGGAATTGGCTGGGCCAGGGCCGGGGGGCGGCGGCCGAACTGGTAAGTGGGTGGATGGAGGGCCCGGCGGCAGCGAGGGAGGCCTGCGGGCTGGCGGGGTTGGGGGTGGGGTGAAGGCTGGTAGAGAGGGGCTGTCCCCGGCAGCCGATGTCGTCCAGGCGCGGAGGCTGTTCCTACGGGGCTCGTCTTTAGGCTATGGACATCCTAGCCAGTCTCCGGACACTCACCTTCCAGGGATCCGCCTGAAAAAAACTTCCACCTCCTTGCCACACCGCTTCACCCGTTGAGCTGCCTCAGGTAACAGTCTGAGAACCCGTGGCAGTTATCTTGTGAACAGCATAGTTATGGTTTATTGGGTTGGGGGGCCGGGAGTGTTAATGCTTTACTTTGCTCAATGTGACGTTAAAAATGCCCCCAATTTTTATAGCCCTGTTTGCATTTTTTGTTTGTTTTCATTTTTGTTCTGTGTTTAAATTAACTGGGATCCTTAAATAAAAGGAAATGGCCCAGCATCTCCTGACCTCTAGGAGGCGTTGGGTGAAGAGCCTGGGTCTTCAAGCTAAGGTATCTCTTCTCCATCCTGGAGGCACCTGGGAACTGTAGCAGGCCTTTAAGTAGAGAGATTTGGGGCTCAGATCTCTGGGCTTTAGGAAGGAGTGGGAAAGCACCGGAAGGCTGGGGGAGCCGGTCAAGAAGCTGTTGCAGTATGAAGAGACCCAGAGTTTATGTGCTGAATTTTCATTTATTTATTCAATAAACACTTAAAAAGCACTTACTATGTGCCAGACACTGTTCTTAGTGTTTTACAAACATTAACTCTTTTAATACTCCTAACGACCCTATGAGGAAGGAACTATTATTAACTTCAGTTACAGATGGAGAAACTGAGCCACTGAGAGGTTAAGTATTTTGTCACAGCTAGTATGTGGCAGAGCCGAGATTTAAACCCACCTGTGCTCCTTACCCCTAAGGTCTGCTGTCTCTCCTCTGATTACACTGCTATTTGGGCACTTTGAGAGGACTCTGCAGCCAAGGGAAAGGCAGCAGGGCTTTATCCCAAGCATTGCGCTGGAGTCGGAGACTCTAGGAGTCAGGAGAGAGTGATACAGAATAGACTAGGAGGAATACTAGGTTTCTGGTAGAAAAGGACCTTAATCCATTGAATCCAAATCCCTCATTTTATAGAGAAGAAAGTTGGGGTTCAGAATGGGGAAGGGACTTTCCAAGTTTCCATGGGGAAGCTCAGGTGTTCTGGCTTCTAGTTAAGATGCACCTTGCTCAGGAATGATGTACAGCCAATTTTCCTTTAAAAAAAATCCTTGCCCAACAACTTGGGGGTGTGTAACAAGAGAAATAAAATGATTTATACTCTTTGATTAAGTAATTTTACTCTTGGGAAAGTGGGAGGCGGGAGATGGCAAAAATGTTTATAGCAAATTTAATAGCAAAAATTGGAAACCACTGCAAGTCTTGATAATAAAGTCTTCAAGCTCACTGGCGTATATTAACACAATGATACTGAGTAATTAAAAATGACCAGGATGTGAACTGTATTGATAGGCAGAAAATACTTTGCAGTGAAAAAAGTAGAACCCAATATAGTATGATTAGGATTATGTTAGAAACTCATGGATAGTAAATAACAGAGGAGAATCTGCCATGATGAGAACATTTTATAGTTTAACATTCTTGTTTATTTTTCTATAAAGTTGCTTAATCTCATTAAAGAAAAAGAAGAAGAAAGACCTTGCTTCAACCATTATTCCTGTAGTGAAGGTGCTGTGGGATAAGAAGCTCTTTTATACGTCTAGTAGGAATGTGAATTGGGTAAGCTTTCTGGAAAAATAGTTTGGCAACTTTATTTAAAACCTTAAAAATGTTCCCAATAATTCCATGTTTAGAGATATAGTCTAAGGAAATCTTTTTGGAAAAATATTTATAAACAGAAAATACTCATTGAAGCAATATTTATGATAGCAAAAAAATGGCAACACTTTAAATGCCCATCAGTGGAAGATAATGTAGACATTAAAAATAATGTGATAGGGCCGGCCCAGTGGCTTAGCGGTTAAGTGCGCGCGATCCGCTACTCGTGGCCCAGGTTCGGATCCCGGGTGCGCACCGACACACTGCTTCTCTGGCCATGCTGAGGCTGCGTCCCACATACAGCAACTAGACGGATGTGCAACTAAGACATACAACTATCTCCTGGGGCTTTGGGGAAAAAAAAAGGAGGAGGATTGGCAATAGATGTTAGCTCAGAGCCGGTCTTCCTCAGCAAAAAGAGGAGGATTAGCATGGATGTTAGCTCAGGGCTGATCTTCCTCACACACACACAAAAATAATAATAATAATAATAGTGTGATGAACTTTTTTGTTTTTTTGGTGAGGGAGGTTGGCTCTGGGCTAACATCTGTTGCCAATCTTCCTCTTTTTGCTTGAGGAAGATTGTCCCTGAGCTAACATCTGTACCAGTCTTCCTTTATTTTGTATGTGGGATGCCACCACAGCATGGCTTGATGAGCAGTGTGTAGGTTTGTGCCCGGGATGCCAACCCATGAACCCCGGGCCACTGCCAAAGCGGAGTGCATGAACTTAACTGCTATGCCACTGGGCTGGCCCCAATGTGATAAACTTTTAATGGCTGAGGAGATAATCACTCTATAGGAAAAGACTAGAAGAAATTGATAACAGTGATTGTTTCTGGAGAGGTGGAGCAAGATAATTTATATTTTCTTCAATATTTTCTGAATTTTCTATTATGAGCACTTATTACTTCTACAGTCAGAAAAAAAAGTTTATTTTTAAAAAAACATGCCCCTTTAGGATGATTCTTTTATTAACCCCACCTACCTAAAACCATTAAGTGTTTCATTCAACGTTTGCGGAGTGTCAGCTCTTTGTCAGTTACTTCAATATCTGCTGGGAATAGAAAGTCTAGTACCATAAGGATCATGCCCAGCTAAGTCCACTGGAGAAGACCAGCAAACCACTGATTATAGGTCAGTAGGATAGGTGGAAATTACTCCTCTTTCTGATTCTCAAGATTTAAGCTGTTTGTGTGATGTGAATTTACATTCATGTTTCTTTGCTTTGCAAGTGTCAGGTATTTTGGCTACCTTGCGAACTAGATTGTAATCTGGGGCAGGGACTATGGATTCTGTTTAGTTCAACCTGATATCCAAAGTACCCTAAATTTGTTGAACCAACTCATGGTTTCAACTTGAAAAAAGTACAAGTTAGCAAGCGTATAGGTCACTAGTCAGGTGTCCCATTGCCCTCTTAGGTCCCTATCCTCCTACACACGTGGCCAAGCAAATTGTAAAAAATCCATTTCCAGGCCAGAGTGGGAGGCCAACTGGACAAATGATTTGCCTTGTGGGCTCTGTTGATCCTAAGTTAACTTGCCTCATCCAGGAAATTAGTCACATGCTTAATTCCAGGTTGGGACTTGTGAATACTCCTGATTCTTCAGGCTAAAATTACTAAGGGAACAGAAAGAAATCAGCTTAACACCCTAATGCCAATTCTAATAAGACCATATTTAAGTAACATAACTGCTAATGGCTATTGGGATAACCTGAGATGTGAGTTCAGATTTTGATGCGTTTTGGCGAGGGATCACAAATGCAATAGACAACGGACTGGAGCCTTTACAAAGTCCACAAGTGTAGGAGGCAGGGGGTGCTCAGCTCCTGCTGCAGCCTTCTCTCAATCGGCACCCTTCGGGTCATTAAAGAGTAAAGCCATTTTTGTAGTCCCTAGGTTCCTGTGAAATTAGGTAACTATGGGGACGCAGTGAGCACAATGCCTGGCACACAGTAGGCACTAATGAAGTTAACTGAATCAGTCTTTGTTTTAAGAAAAATCATCTATAATAGCTCTCTAGGTTAATGTCAGGTAATATATTATTACAGAATAGTTTATGACATATGGTGCTTAAACTACAGTGAGAAAGGATCCCGAGATCATACTTCTGTTAGAGGCAAAGGGAGAACTAGAAACAGGATTCTTTCATTTTACCCCATTCTAAGAACATGGGAGGTGGGGGATGAGGGGCTCATGGAGGATGAACTCATGGAATTTCCTTAATGCAGTCTTCTTCTTATTGTTGTATAGAGTATAGACGCCTTACAAACAGGTACATTAAACCCACTATTTTATAGATAAGGTGACTGAGAACTAAAGAGCTGGAGCCACACATAAAAAATAGGAGATCTGAGGCTGGAATTTTTTCCAGGATTCATTTGTACCTTTTAGTTCGTCTCTGCAGGAGTTCCTAAACAGTGGGTTCAAGAAATGTGTTTGCATAGAGGTTAAGACTGTACAATCTAGCAGCCACTGCCTGGATTCAGATTCTCTCTCTGCTACTTGCTAACTAAGAAACGTGTTTGCTCTAAGTCCACCCTGGTTCAAGGAAGAGATGGCAGGGTCAGTGTCGCTGCCCTTGCTTCTCTGGGGCACCTTCCTCCCAGGCCCTTAGATCTGCCTCCATAAAATGAGAGAAGGCAGACCTGAATAGGCCCCAGACCTTCAGATTTCTTCTGGAAATTGGTCTGCAGTGCCCCAGGCCTCAATGTCAGCTTTTTGCTGACCTTTCAGTACATCTTTACAGTACAAAGAATCTCTATTGAAAATAAAACAAAAAGGTGAAGCTTAGAATACTGATAATGAGAACTGTATATGTATATGATGACTGTAGCGAGTCATCATATACA